CATGGTCGCGCCGCGTCAAGAAGCTATCCCAACAGCGATCGGACACTACGGAATGCCGAGCGCTAGTCAGAGAAAGCTCAACATTCGCAAGTTCGATGGGACGGAGCGTAACAAAGGGCTTGGGAGCGGGTTCTTTGACTGGGGACGCACCTTCATGCGCGCTGTGAGCCTCGCTGAGGCGTCTTGCGGTTTCTCCTGGACGGAGGACGTGAAGGTGGACCTACTCGGGCATTTCTTGGCTGGTACGGCGGAGCGCTACTACCACAAACAGGTCGACACTTGGTGGGTGCAGCAGCCAAGACTCGAGCACGTCATGGAGCAGCTGCACCTAACGTTCAAGACGACCATCACGGCGAGTCAGGCCATGAAGCTATTCATGACAAGGAAAGAAGCGAGACGCACCTGGGCTGCGCACTTTCTTTACATGGTGGCTGTCAGCGACGCGCGCGGTGGCGCCGACTCGCTTGTGCTCGACAACATCGTCCATCATGCGTCGCCAGACCTGATGAATGTCATGCGCGCTAAGTACGATCCAACGCGGTCCGACTACCTGCGCCACGCTGAGGAGTTGGCGCACTTTGCGCAGTCTATCGAGCTCGGCAGTGGCGCGGTTGGTCGCGAGGTCGTTGCGGCGCATGTTGAGACGAAGCGTCAAGACACGCGAACGTGTTTCCGATGCGGGAGGACGGGGCACGTCGTTTCCGAATGCAAGGCAAGAGTTGTGTTTGATGATGAAACGACAAACACGAGTGTCAGCGGCGATATGGTACTTGCGCTCATGGAGAAAGGGTCAGCGGCTCGCACGAAAGAAGCCAAAAGCAAGAAGAAAAAGAAATCGCGAGGCAAAGCGGTTCGTGCGAATAAAGTGCGAGCTGCGAACAACGCGGGCGGATTCGTGCTAGCTGCAAATGATGCGATTGGCATCGATCGAGGCGACTGGATACTTGACAGTGGCGCGAGCAGGCACCTCGTGAACGATGAGTCGCTGCTGATCGACTCGACCGCCTGCGTCTACGAGATCGCCATGGCAGATGGGGAGTCACTGCGGCTGACGCGTGTCGGGAGTGTGCGCCTTGAGGTCCTCGCGCGCGGTGTGAAGGTGACTGTGACTCTGACAGAAGTCTATCTTGCTCCACGTCTGGCGAAGAACATCGTCTCGTACGGGAAGCTGGAGAGCAAAGGGTTTGCCCTCGTGTACGATGGCAACAAACGAGCGCTAGCGCGGCGCAGCGACGGTACAGTCGTGTTCGACGTAGCGATTGACAGTAACGTGTTATACGTTAAGACGACAGCGACACGCGAGAGGCACAGAGCTGGAGATGCGATCGTGGCTGCGCTCGAAGCGCGCGCGATGGATGGTGATGCGGATGACATGCACGAAGCCTCGCTGCTGCACTGGCACCAGAGACTTGGCCACCTCGCGTTCGATACGATCGAGCGTATGGCGCGAGATCCGTCATCGGGTATTCGATTGACCAGCAACAAGCGCATGGCATGCGTATCATGCCTCGAGGGCAAACAGACGCGCAACACGCAGTCACAACAAGACAGCGGCACCAACTCGCCAATCGACAGGATCGGCGGCGTCATCTGCTCGGACCTTAAGGGTCCCATGACGCCGCAGGATCGCCTCGGCAATCGATATATGGTGAACTTTATCGACCATAAATCGAACTATTGTCGAGTATTCCTTGCGCGCACGAAAGACGCGGCGGCGAAGCAGTTTGAAGCCTTCCTCGTCCACTTTGAGAAGCTCTTCGGCTTCAAGGTCCACGTTCTGCGGACGGACGGAGGAGGCGAGTATGCAAACGTCGACTTGTTCTGTAAACGCACGGGTGTCGCACGCCAAGTGTCGGAAGCTCGCAACCAGGCATCGAATGGCAAGGCAGAGAGGATGCACCGCACGGTGCTAAACCTCGCACGCAGCATGATGTTCGCGAGCGCGCTACCGTTGCAGTTCTGGGGCGACGCGGTGCAGTACGCCGTCCACATCTTGAACCGCAGCCCGACGCGAGCCAATGCAAAGAGAGCGTCGCCTATCGAGGTGCTGACGGGTAAGTCGCCGGATCTGCGCAGCATCGTCGTCTTTGGGTCGTCTCGTAGCGTCTACCGGGACCCGCGCAAGAGCTCGCTACAGCGGCGCTCTCAGACTGGCATCATCGTGGGCGTCAGCGAGGAGACAAAGGGGTACAAGGTTGTTCTCCAGCGAGAGAACAAGGTGGTTGTAACACAACATGTGAAGAATATCTCCACGCTCTCGGATGCGCAGGACGCACAACTGCAGCGTGCGCTGGAAGTTGGCGATCGAGCCGATGGAGATGCTGTAGTGGCGACCCGTGATGACAATATACGAGCGCGAGATTATCGCGGTGCTCACGAGAAGAGTAAGAAGCCGTGGTCACGACAAGCGCACGGTACACGAAGCGCATCAAAGCGCAAGCAAGCAGTTACGCGCCAGGAGGAGAGATCTGCAAGCGACGAGGTGGTCAACGCAGCCTTCGAGCGCGACCCATGCAACTATGGCGAGGCCATGCGGAGCTCTAAGCGCGCGGAGTGGCAGACGGCGATGCAAGAAGAGATCGCCGCTCTGGAGAGCAACGATGTGTGGCGCGTGACGAAGCGTAGCCCGGGCGTGAACGCTCTCCACTCCAAGTGGGTCTTCAAGACCAAGACAGGGGCCGATGGAGAGCTCGAGCGATATAAGGCGAGGCTTGTCGCATGTGGCAATGAGCAAGTGCTCGGCGTCGATTACAACCTGACCTTTGCCGCAGTGATGGACATCTCGACGGCAAAGGTAGTGCTGGCGCTCGCAGCAACCTGGGGCGTGCCGGCCAAGCATGGAGACATCCCGAACGCGTACGTGCGTGCCGAGAAGGAAGCACATCTCGACATCTGCTTGCAGGTGCCACGCGGTATGACTGTGTCAGAGAGCACTCTGCGCAATGTTGGCGCTATGCATCCAGGCGAGGTCGTCTTGGAGCTGCGGAGAAGCCTTTACGGGCTGAAGCAAGCCGGGCGCCTCTGGAGCCAGTTGCTCCATGCGCGACTCAGCGATGCGGGGTACGTGCGCTGCGTGTCAGACATGTGTCTGTACCACAAGCGCGACGGCGAAGAGCTGGTCGTAGTTGGCGTCTACGTCGATGATTTGCTGGCGACGGGAACGAGCGTCGCGGCAGTCGAGAGCTTCTTCGCGAGCCTGGCGTCGCTGTCAATCAAGGATCTCGGCCATGTCCACAAGTTCCTGGGAATGCGAGTGGAACTCGGGAGCGACGGCGCGTACCGCATCGACCAGGAGGAGGCCATCAAGGAGCTACTGCGTGCTCATGGGATGTGCGATGCGAATCCGACGAAGACGCCGATTGGAGGTGACTGCTACGAGGTCGTAGGCGACGACGCCGCGCTTCTTGGAACAACGAGCACGGGCGGTGGTGCAACCATCAACGCGTTCCAGTCCCTCGTCGGGAGCCAGCTGTGGGTCGCACGGTGCTCAAGGCCTGACATTGCCTTTGCAGTGCATAAAGCAACTAGGCAGACACATGCGCCGCGGGTACTCGACTGGAAGCTCGCCAAGCGTGTTGCTCGGTACCTAAAGGGGACAGCGATGCTCAAGCTCGAGATGGCGCCAGAGCGAACGAGCCGAGACGCGCTGCGTCTCGAAGCCTATAGCGATGCCGACTTCGCGGCTGACAAAGCGGACCGGAAGTCACTAACTGGAGGCGTCGTGCTTCTAAATGGGATGGCGGTGTCATGGACCGCGAAGAGACAGGGCGGAGTGAGTCTCTCGACGATGGAGGCGAATTCGTCGCGGCGTCGGAGGTTGCGCGCGAGCTCATTGGCTTGCACCAGATGCTCGGAGAAGTGGGCATGGCGCCGGTTGTCCCTATGCTGATGCACGTGGACAACCAGGCAGCCATCAGTCAGATCGAAGGCGAAGCCTCGTCGATCAAGGCCAAGCACATCGACGTGCGGCACAAGTATCTGCGCGACCTCGCTCGTCGTGGGATCATCACGGCGCAGCACGTTCGATCCGAACTGATGATAGCGGATCTGATGACGAAGGCCGTCGATGCAAACAAGCTGGCGGCGATGCGTAGCCTGATGCGGCTCGAGTAAGAGCGTGATGCGTATGAAGAGCTGGATGCGCGAGATGGCTGTGTCAGGGTATGGGTGTGGTGGAGGCACGCGTGAGGAGCTTCAGGATGAAGGAGATCGAGTATGGAGGAGATGAAGGACAAGGGTGTCTGCAACGTCCAAAAAGGATCGGAGAGGAAGAGAGAGGAAGAGAAGAGAGGAAGAGAGAAAAGAAGGAAGAGACGAAAACGAAAACGCACTCGAGGAGGAGTGTAGGAAAGCAAGGGATTTGTTACCTTGGTGGATTGGAGATTCGGCGCGATGTGTCGATTAGCGTCATTCGTTTAGATAGGAAGGCAGAGCGGCTGCGTAGCAAAATGGGTGGTGTGGATGGCTTTGGAAAAGTGTCAGGTAGAAGAGAAGACATAAAATGTGAATACAGAATCTAATCGTCTTTCTACTGCGCATACTACTTCCCACAGATAACGGGTATGGCCGAGAACTTGACTACGTATTGGACCGAGCGGTTGACCACGTTCATGTACATGTGCACTTTGATGCCATTGATGACCGAGGTGACTGCGTATTGCACAGAGCGTGTCATCGAATGAGGCCTCCTGTATCAATTGTCTGTTAGATTTAGCGTTGCGCCAAAAGCAACGTCGTTAACACTCACAGGATATGCATCAATCCTCATCACATCTTCCGCTACAGCGAATGCCATCTTCTTTACCATACACTTAGCACACTCCGAGTATGCAGATATCCCATTTATCTTGCTCTTGCAGTTCATATTGTGTTTGTCTTGAGTTCTTTTCAAACTGTGTCAGATTTATGTGCACCACACGACCACGCAGATCGTCCACCTACGCACAACATTTTATCTGCTGACGCGTCTTCCTCGATTGCAAACAACGACACGGACCATCATGAACAGGTACATTCGTGCTCATCGTGACCGCGTTTTGCGCTACTGGCGCCTCAGATGCAGTCTCTAGACATTTGCGTGACAAAGCAGCAATGAATGAAGACTGAACGTTGCTTCTGCTTGTTTTGCAGCAACGAAATGGACGCGGCGTTGATGGTGTTTGTAAACTGCCTGGGAGCGGTGATCATGGTGTCCGTGGTGGGGTTCCACTATCTCACAGCCAAACCCAAGGACGCTGAGCTATAGAATCCAGCATTGGTTCAGTGTGGAAGGTAAGGAGCAAGTGGAAGACCCATCTCGGTGAAGTGTAGTGCAGTTTGCAAACAATGCGTTTTGTTGAGCGCCAACTCACTTGAAACCTCTGTTTGGAATCGTCCCATTCGGCAGCAATGACTGGACAAGACATACGCTGGCACGAACTACGCTCTCCCGTGGTGCAAGCAGGGTTTCTGGTTCCCATGGGGCTCGGAAGAGGATGGGAGACTCCATTTACGACGATTCAGAGAGGTTTAATCAAATAATTGGTGCTTGCGCTGCATTGTAGACATTTATTGCAATTTTGTTCTGTTGCGTACTTAAGCGTTACATTCAATCCGTGCTGTATTCGAATCAGGCCCTTTTTGCAGTGTGTACCCATCGTCACGATGAGATCAGGGCGCGTTATGGTGCTATGCGAGCGCATCATGAGCCGCGGCTACGAACCGCGCGTGGCACGTCTCATGGAAAACGTCAAAGCCACAGTGCGTGCTCAGCCAGGCTTCATCTCGATCGACACGTACGCGCAGGTGGAAGACCACACGAAATACGTCGTCTTCTCCGAGGTCGTTGATTTAACACAGTGATCTGCAGTCGTGATTTACAGTTACTTCAGGTGTTGCAACGTAATGTAACGTATGCCATAAATGATGTGCTAGTAGTGGGAGTCCAAGAAGAAATTCGACGAGTGGCTTGCGAGTGAGGCATTTCAGGAATGCACGCATCAGATCGACGAGCTACTGGACGCGCCTGGAGTGCACATGCGCATCTTCAAGGCCCCAAAAGATGATGTCTTCCTGCTGTAAGCAGTCGAGTACAGGTCCCGGAGCTGCTCCCAGCTGGCTGAAGAAAAGCAAGCACTATATTGCAGTCTAAGCTTATATGGCAACCTTGTGCTTGTGGGCATGACATGCATCCGACGTTCTCGTCCTGCCTGTCATGACCCGTATCGACCAGAAGCCCACTATTCTTTGGCAACGCACACGCAGAGGCTGTGCAAAAATCAAAAACGACAGTCGCTGTCGCTACACGCTTTAGCCATTCTCTCTCGAATGCTGCTGATGGCGCCACTCTTTCGTCGTGACTACTTCGACTCTTCGGTCGTGCAGCCCTTGATAAAACTCTTTATCCGATCAACGGTGTCTCGCACCGACTTGGTAAATGAGTGCGGCTTGCTGTCTGGATCTTCACCTTTCTCAGCGCGATCGTTTTCCTCCTTCAAAAACTCCGTCATCAACTCTTCCTGTCGCGGTGACAAACTCCTAAACAAAGCAAGAAATATTAGCTCGTCTCCATGACCAACAACTGCCCACATAACTTTCGCCGCTTGCTTGACCAGGTACGTACTTTGGAACGCAGACCTGTAAATTTACTAGTTGCGAACCGCGGCGATTTGAATTGAGCTCCTTGATACCTTTGCCGCGCATCTGCAACACTGTATCTGGCTGCGTTCCACGCGGAATCTTCATCTCTACTTCACCTGTCAAAGTAGGCACCACAACCGTGCCTCCTAGAACGGCCTGTGCCACCGAAATGGGCACATCGACATAGACATCCGTTTTACGGCGCTTAAAGAACGGGTCCGGTAACACGTGAATACCGACATAGAGATGTCCTGCTGGTCCACCGCGTCGGCCAGGCTCGCCCTGACTTGCCAGTCGAAGGTTCATTCCCTGGTCCACTCCTTCAGGTATCTTCACCTCAACCGTACGTGGTTTCTTGACCGTGCCTTTTCCATAGCATGTCCCACACGGTGACTCAATGATCGTTCCTTCACCTCGACAGCGTCGGCACGGAGACTCCACCGAAAAAAATCCCTGCTGCATAATCTGCACGCCTGATCCATTGCACGTCGGGCACGTTTTCTCCTTCGTGCCAGGCTTGGCCCCCGATCCGTTACACGTGTCACACTCAACATCAGCAGTAATGTTCAAGTCGCGCATCGTGCCTTTTACTGCTTCCATGAAGCTGAGCGTCAGATCCACCTGAATATCAGCGCCTCGCTGCGGTTGATTTGCACTGCGACGTGCACGTCCACCAAAGCCCTGGTTGCTGAAAAACTCGCCAAAAACGTCTTCGAATCCCTGTCCCTGAAACCCACCCGAAGGGTCAAAACCCGATTGCTCATCCACGCCCGCGTGCCCGTAAGCGTCGTACTTCTGCCGCTTGTCGTCGTCACCCAAGATCTCCCACGCTTCCGTCGCCTCAGCAAACTTCTTAGCAGCTTCCGGATCCGCCTTGTTCGTATCCGGATGATGTTTCTTGGCCAGCTGGTAGTACTTTTTCTTAATGTCGTTCTTGCTCGCATCGCGAGCGACGCCAAGGACGTCGTAGAAGTCGCGCTTCGAGGGTTCCCTGACGCTGCGTGTGCTATGGAACGACGCAGGATGGATCATCAGTGCAGACAAGCCATGTGGGAGCGTTTTTGTACTGGATCGCTGTACTGGAGCGCTCCGGGCGCGACTTGTCGCGATGCGCAGAGCGGCTGCCCTCATTGCCATCGACTGCAAGTGACTTGGAGCTCCAACCGTGACTCAGAACTCAAACAGTGACTGGTCGAGCAGCTCACATTGTGTGGACACGCTTCTAGAAAAAGGTGACAGAGCCTGGACAGGCTTTTTGACCAATCGCAACTCCACTTTTGCAACAAGGGAGGACGGCGGACGAACGGAAGGATGGGGTGTCGTCGACACTCGTGAAGTCTGCGACGTGTGCGAACGGCCGAAGCGACGTCCACAACGGAGGTTTCATGCCCGACCATTGTCGAAATTTGGTCGGATTTAGCGCAATAAACACGTTTTGCTGATCTTTCGGTAGCAAAAGCGATACCTGCATTAAAATCGATTGGTGTAGGAAGACCGAAATAACAGTTATGTTCGAAGACCGTGTGAGGTCGTTGCACGACCAAAAGCGAGCTGATGTGCAGTCCTGATACCATTTCCACTCGAAGCCGCAGTCGTGATATATTGGCTTAGAGCCGTTAATCACAAACGTATGAGCGCTGCACTAGTCGCTACGGAGAAGCGAGCGCAGTGTTTGGACATCTCGATAGAGTTGTGAGTTTACACAGCTAGCGACCAATGACAGCATCATCCTGTATCGACACGGAAACCTGCTGAGTCTGAGGTGGCCAGGAGCTGCAACGTGTTCGGCGTTTCGCATGTCGAGAGCACACGACACGAAGCAAGTACATGCAACAGCTTGCGCACGGACATGTTTCGCAGTTCAAAGTTTGCATTGGGTACGAAGCGGGTGGATCCTGCATGAAACTCGACCGCTTCTGTGCTGCCATGGTCAAATGCTTTTATAGGAAGGAGACGTTCGCACTGCTTAAAATATACGTCACTTGAGCGAGTGCCAACAAGAGCTCAAAGCTACTTGAAACCAAGTTGTAGACGTCAAAGACACTAGAAAGTGCTCAGCGTGCAACTAAATGAAGAGGCGAATGACTTGTAGATTGTGATCGAATCTTGTCTCCAAAGTCAAGATACTGTGGACTGCACAACATTAGTGATAGCCTCAGTTGGCCTGGCTCGAAGAGGAATTATGCTCGCGAAATGACAAGCAAATAACAAACAAGAACCTCGGGATACTCGCGAGGCTTGTTGGTCCGGTCTATTGAAAGTATTGATACATCCACAATCCCATCACTCGTCCTCAGTCTCTATGCCTTCGTCCTCGTCTTCATCTTCGTCCTCCTGCTCTTGACTGCTGCCATCATCGCCATTAGCATCCCCACTTACCTCTTCTTCACCCTCGTGGTAAACTACCGCGGCACGAGTCTCGTCGTCTTCCTGCTCAGCGGTCACGTTTGTGTTGACTTGAATCTGGCCCAGTACAAGTGCCAAGCGGCCGGACAGCTTCTGCATCTGTTCGTGCACCTGCAGTCTAGTCTCCAAGAGCTGATACAGAGCCGATAGACTCGACACGAGATCAGGCTGGGCCACTAGGTACGCCGTGTGGTGCAGAAGGACAGCACGCAACCACACACAAAGACGTGAAAAGCGGTTTGGTGACCGTTCAAGCTTATGGACAATCACCTCCAGCAGCGCCAGCACACGGGAGGGCGACACACGAGCCACAGTTCGCCCAATGATTTTGGCATCGCGTAGACGCAAACAGTACTCGAGAAGAGCGTTGTCACGTGCTTGTAAAGCCTGCTCCAGCACACTAGCAAGCGACGACGCATCCGGTTTGTTATCCAGAGCCTTGCTGTCCGGAGTCTCTGACTCACGTTCTGCACGGCTGAGAGCAGCAGTCACATCTCCCTCGATATGCTCACGCAGAGCCTCCACACGCTCAGCCAAAGTAAGCTCGTTCTCTTCTTCTTCTGCGTCGCCATCCGGTCTCTCTTCAAAGCTAATCGTTTCGTCCACTACAGTCATAGAATTAGCCAGAGCACGGCGCTCACTCAACGTCGGTACATGGGTCTTTTCGTCCTCATGAGCTGCTGCAACTTTCTGACGCTTGATACTGCCGTTTGCTGCAGCTACTTCAGCGCGTTCAGCAGAAAGCAGCAGAGCGTCACTGATCTCAGCAAACTCTAGCTTCTTTTTCCACTGACTCGGAGCATCCTCTTCCACGAGGGATACCTTCTCAAACACCGGCTTGACAACCGATCCACGGGCAACTAGCACTTGTGTTTTCAAGTCCGTATCTGCCTCTGTACTGAGCTCCGCCAGCAAAATACCAGCACTCTCAGCTGTCGACAGCAATGGCCGCAGTGGCTTTGAGGCCAGTGCCAGCTCAGACGCATCGCCTGCTTGATGGTACTTGTGTACCCACACGAACATCGCCCCCGCAGACGTCGTAGCTCCCACCAGCAAATCCACAACTGGTTTGGCCGTCTCACTGCTTTTCTCCTTCTTGTGCTTCTTGCTCTTCTTTGACGCCGCAGTGCCACCCGTAACAGCACGAGCAAAGAGACTCTCGGCACTACTCGGCAGACTAAACGTCAGTGCCGGCGCATCGTGCTCTGTCAGCTGCAGATC